GCCTGGCAGCTGGCCTTGCTTTGCCAGCTGTACAGGGGAGGAAACTGAGGCTCGAGAGGGTGAATGGCTTATGGAAGGCCACATGGCAGAAGCCATGACTACTGGAGAGCCAGGCAGTCTGGTCCTTGTCCCCTGCCCTGGGCCCCCCCAGCTGCCCATGAAGCCTCCCTGCACAGGCCTAGGAGGTGGAGGCTCCCCACGGCACACTCCATCTGGCTTTCCAGTCCCCAGGAGGCTGTGCCCGGGCAGTGGCTTGCCCCAGCTTCCTGGGGTCTGTAGCCAGGCCAGAAAGCCAGAGCCTGCCCTGGAGGAAACCACACTGTCGCCCGCGGCCCATCTGTGGTGATGGGTGGAGACGGAGGCTCGGAGTTCTCTCTGGGATGAAATGCGTTAACTGTTCTGCAGAAAGGGCCACGACCCCTGACTGTGTGCCTCCCTCCTCCCTGTGCCCCGCCCTGAGATGCCCATGACCTTGGCAAGGCCACCAGCTGGTCAGGGTAGCAAGGGGCCTCATCCACTTCACCTTGCCCCTCCCCCCAGCCTGCAGTCTTCCCATGGCTCCCCAAGTTGGGTGGGGCTGAGGGCCTGAAAGGCAGGGAAATCGGAGAGGTAAGACGAGGAAGAGCATCCACACGCCTTCCTTCCGAGCCCCGGAGAACGGTCGTGGCTCAGGCAGGCTGGAGAGATGGAAGAGGACCTTGAGAGAGGTTTCTGACCAGAACCAGGGCTGTGGGAGTTTTACTGATAGAGAAAAATTAAGCTTATGACCAACATCAGGGTTCAGGCCTAGCACATAGTAGGATCTGGATACTGTCTGTTGAATGAACAAATGTTTCCAAGCCCTACTTATGACCAAGGCCCAGAGACCTCTTTTCTTCCTAATTGTCAGCTTCGTTTCGTGCCAGCATAAAAGACACCCCAGCCCCCAAAAGACCTCAACGTGCAGCCGCCGTTTCCACCGTGAGAACTCAGTCAGGTTGAGGCATAACAGATCGGTAGGTAATGAGGCCCCGCAGGCCCAGGACCACCGGACTAAGCAGGAAGAGGCTCAGCCTCCATCCTGGCTGGGGCCCTGTGTGGTGGGGGAGCTGCCAGGCAAAGGCAGGTTCCCACGGGTGGGGCACTGAGCCAGGTGCAGGTGTTGGGGAGGAACCGGCAGCAGGAGCCAAGGGCCAGGTCTGCCCCCGCCGAGCTGTCAGCTGAGGTCCCTGATGTCTCTGAGCAGTTCCCAGGTCTGTGATCGCTGGGTGGGAGTGGGGCCTGAGAGCTTCGGCATGACCTGTGGCCCCGCAGGGGAGCCACCCGCTGGGCTGTCCGTTATCGCCGGCTTGCAGCTTGCAGTCTGTGGGAGGATGCCGGGGGCATGCTTGACATTTGTGACCAGCAGGAACTGGGGCCCCAGGCCTGGGAGGAGAGCTAGAGTCAAGCCCAGGAGGGGGCCAGGACTTGCTCAAGGCCCTCAGGAACCCTGGGGTCGCTTGAGCCTGGGGTTTAGGGCACTCGGGATGAGAATCCTTCCAGGCTGGGTCCCCTCAGCAAGGGGAGAAGGCACCACGAAGCCACCCCGGGGCTGGGCTAGCAGCCTCTCCCAGCAGGCCAGGCCCACAGTGGGCCAGAGGTCCCGTGGGGGCGCTTCCCTCTGCCCGGGGGGCCTGAGCGAGGAAGAAGCCACAGTGGTGGGAAGGTGGGCCCCCGACTCAGCCTGGGGTCTGAGGCCAGAGAGCGGGAGGACCCGGAGACGGTGGGCTTGAGGCAGATGTGCTCCTGCTGAGACAGCAGCAGGGGGAGAGCAGGCTGACTGCCATCACACGTGACACGCCGCCGCATGGCCTCTGCAAGGGCCTTGCAGAGGCTCTGCTACCCACCGCTCGCCAGCCCCCTGGGGGCCGGGGGGAGGAGAAGAGGGAAGGAAGGGCGGCCTGAGGAGTTACAGGACCGGGGTGCAGCAGCAGCTTCCCTGCGCTCCTGGCTTCTTTCCTGGCTGCACCCCCAGGACGGGACAGCGTCCCCCCGACTCCGCCTTCCGGCTGCCCCACTGTGTTGTTCTATCCTTACAAACTACCCACGGGAGGCACCGCTAAGACCTCTGCCTAGCGGACTCCGGATCCTGGCTGCACCCTGCGGCAGGTGCGAGGCCTGTCTTCTCGCCCGTCAAATGTGGCAAAGGCACCTATGTCACAGCACTGTCGGTTAACATGACCGATGCCTGGAAGGATGCCCGCTGTTCCTGTTACTAGCAGACACGTGGACCCCATCCAAGGGCTCAGTGGGGAGGTCACTGCCGGTCCCTGCTAGTTCGCTCAAGTGACACAACTGTCCCTGGCAAACCTCTTTCCCCACACCAGTGACGCAAGGCCAGTGGTGGGCTCTCAAGCAGGAGCGCCTTTCCTGGCCTCTGTGCCCATGACAGTGCCTTGCCTGTGATGCCATCCAGCCACTGCCTGCTTTCAAGAGAAACCTGGGGCTGGGCCCTCTTTTCTGTTCCTGGACAGCCAAGCAGACACGGCCCCCCTCCCCGGCATGCACAGCCACAAGGCCAGTGGTTGAACATGTAGGTCATTTCACGTGGAGAGGTCTGCAAGGGGCCTGGGTGGCTCAGTGGGCTGAGTGTCCATCTAGCTCTTAATTTCGGCTCAGGTCACGATCTCAGAGTGTGACATGGAGCCCCATGCTGGGCTCTGTGCTCAGAGGGGAGACTGCTGGAGACTCTGTGCCTCTGCCCCTCTCCAAAATAAAGTCTTTTAAAAAAAATTAAAGGGCTTCATACCCCTTTGGTTTAGAAGCACTTAGCTGAGATGTCCCAATTCCTGGGGACAACACCCCATCTCCAGATGAGCATGAGGACAGAGTAGTGGTCCAGCCCTGCCCCCGCACCCTGGTCTTGCAGGTGTGGGTCCCAGTGAAGCAGGCTGAAGACAGTCCAAGGCGGCCACAGGGCACACCTCCCCCGGACAACCTCCCGCAGGGGAACAGATGACCGCCATCTCGCCCCACAAACACCCTCCAGCCCAGCCTCTGGTACTTCTGGGAGGGGAGTGCAACAGGGCACTGCCGCCATTCCTGGGGAGACTCGAGCCACACCAGGTGACGGTAACAAACGGAGTTGCAGTAGCCGGCCAACAAGCCAGAAAAAACAAGGAGACTGAATCCGTAAGCCTCACTCCTTGTATGTAACTTGCATGCTTCCAAGACTGCCTGGCTGGCTCAGTCGGAAGCACAGGTGACTCTTGATCTCCAGGCCATGAGTTCAAGCCCCACATTGGGTGTACAGCTCACTTAAAAAATAATAATAATAAAAATAAATCAACTCTACAAAAGGTATATGGGTTCTAGAAAAACCACGGAAGTGTTATCTTTATACTCTTTTAAGGTGAAGAAAGCATTTAAAAACATGACCACATATCCCAGAAACCATTAGAAATGAATCTTTTTTTTTTTTTAAAGATTTTATTTATTTATTTGACAGACAGAGATCACAAGTTGGCAGAGAGGCAGGCAGAGAGGAGGAAGCAGGCTCCCTGCCGAGCAGAGAGCCTGATGCGGGGCTCCATCCCAGGACTCTGGGATCATGACCTGAGCCGAAGGCAGGGGGCCCTAACCCACTGAGCCACCCAGGCGTACCAGAAATAAATTTTTTAAAAAAGGATAAAACAACACTGAAATGCTTCTGTATGGAATCCACTTGTCCTCTGCCCCAGATGAAAGACAAATGCTAACCAGATAAAGTACTTGCCTCAAATCACCCAAGCTGATCTTCAGCTTTCAGATGGTGAGAGAAAGGCTGTCCAACTTCCAGAAGAGGCCTGAAGGACGTCCTGCCCCACGTGCTGCTGGAACACCACGGGGACAGCAGGCACTCCACAGGCCGGACTCTCCCCTCAGGAGCGACTGTACAAGGACACCCACGTTTACAGGCATCCGCAGAAGTGCTATCCAGAATACGGAGCACTCTGTATGATGGAATGTTCTATATGATGATCAGTGAGGGACCTATTAAATCTCTAGAACAAAATAACACAGCTATAAAAACTTATGTACAGGGCGCCTGGGTGGCTCAGGCAGCTAGGCGTCTCCCTTCAGCTCAGGTCACGATCCTGGGGCCCCAGAATCGAGTCCCTAATCAGCTCACTGCTCAGCGGGGAGCCTACTTCTCCCTCTTGCTCTAACCCTCACTAGTGCTGTCCCGCTTTCAAATAAGTAAAATCTTAAAAAAAAAACCCACCAAAACCAAAACCAAACCTCTCACGCACCTACAATCCCAGCCACGAGTTGACGTCTGAGTGAAAACCCACTTCTGAAGTCCGAAGAAGGGCACCTGGGTGGCTCAGTGGGTTAAAGCCTCTGCCTTGGGCTTGGGTCATGATCCCAGGGTCCTGGGATCAAGCCCTGCATTGGGCTCTCTGCTCAGCGGGAAGCCTGCTTCCTCCTCTCTCTCTGCCTACTTGTGATTTCTATCTGTCAAATAAATGAATAAAAAATGAAGTCCGCAGAAGCAGGGACAGCACCGTCCCGTCACATCACACGTTCTCTGCAGCCCTGTAGGTGCTCAGCTGTCTGGAGAGGCTTTGGGCACGAATGGGAGCAGCTTCCAGTGCCCGGTGGTAGAAGTGCAGAGGAGTTTCCCTTATACTTTAAAAATACACTGATTTCTTTTCCTACAATGAACGTTGATCGTGTTAACAGATTTTTTTTTTTCCGTAACAAAGAGATGGAACTTTTGTCTACACCTCTGGACAAAAATCCCATGTTTCTTGCAGGATTTAGGTAGGAGCTGGGGTTGGGCGGGGGGGTCGCGACTCGTTTACCAGCAGCCCCCTCACCCTTTTCCAGCAAAGCAGTGCACCAGCATTCTGAGCAAATGCCCGTAAGAGCTGCATGCCCTTCAGCTGGAACGATGTGACCTGGATGCTTTCTATTTTCTCCTGACGCAGGTCACTAAGGCTGCGGATCTCTACAAAAGATCCTCTGCTATGATAAACAAAGACAACCAACTGTTTTTTGAAATTTTTATTTGGTGTTAACTCCACAAGAAAACAAAAAAATCAGTTACTCTGGTGTACGTGAAATCAGAACAATACAACCACGGGGAAAAAAATCTCAGCCCAGGAATGGAACATGGGTACTTCAGTGCTATGGATATGCAAATGCGCGTCATACCACAGTGCGTCTCAGCGTTTTGCCAACTTTTTAAAAAATGCTTTTTCTTTGTGATCATCCATTCACAAAACTAAAAACCACACTTTCAACTCTGTTGCTGAAAGCCTCTGGACTTCAGCCATTTAGCTATGAAAACAAATAAATACATAATCTGTTAATCCCCTTGCCCATTTTATAATCCATCCCCGTTCCCCCGTGGAAGGTGCACTGTCTTCCCGCCTGTGCATGAGGAAGTCGGCACCTCAGCCACCTGGAGCCCTGTCTTGATAAAAAGCAGCTGTCCAAAATCAACTGAGCTAAAGGTTGTATCTGAAATATATTTATTTGGTCTCTGCTACATAAGCAACGATTTCTAGAATGATCGTCACTGTAGTGATTTTAGGAATTTACAACTTCCAATTCTTTTTTGCCTTTGCTGTTAAATTATATTTCAGTGCAGATGCTAATCACTTTTTAGGAAGCTCTGGAAGAAAGAAAAATACATAAAACCTTATAAAGTCTGTAAATAAATTAACAGCAACATAAACCTTACATGCACACACACACACCCCTGCACACGTACACGCACGCACACACACACGCACGCACGCACACACTTTAAAGTGTCATAAGATGTGCCAAGTACGAACAAGCCCTGGCGTGTGGTGAGACCCCAGCCCGCCGTCTGCTGGGTTTCTCCCAGCGAGAACACCGAAGCCGGGGCGGCTCTGCAGCCCTGGAGTCACCTGTGTCCTCAGTTACAAGCAGGCAACTGCACCCGCGGCTCGGAGCAAACCAGGGATCTCCCAGCCACTCCAGCTCCCAGCTAGCAAAGTGCACGTGTGCACCGCCTGCCAAGACTCACGGTGACGCTGTCTCGTCCACGCCAGACTTCTCTGCCATTCCTGGTGTTACGGGCACGCTAAACTGATTTTACACATTAGGTTTTGTTTTTTAAATAGAAAAACAATTTGGTTTTACAACACTGCTCCTCGTAGCTTCACCTGCTGCCCACCGGCGTGAACACTCGAGGTGGCGGCCATCCTGAGTGGACAGGACTTGGAGGAGACGGACTGACTGCTCAGCCCCCACGGAGAGCGGGAAGCGAGTCCCATGAAACCATCACCAAGGTCTGGGAGAAAGACGTCTCTGCCCGCCCCCAACCCACCACACAGAACTTGCCCAGAACATTCTCGCCAACACAAAATGAAGTCTAGGCTCTACTCGGTCACAGCCGTGACAGCGGCTAGCTGCAGCAGCCAGGGCTTCTCTGGGGCGACGAGGCGGCCTGTACTGCATATCAGACGTTTGTAATTTGGAGTTCTGGAGGCTTCGATTCAATGGAGGTCACCAGAAAATCATGATCTGCAACTAAGACCCTCACCACAAATAACCCTGAAGGGCGTTTGGCGCAAAAGTCACCACAACGTCAAACAGGCCAGGGGTGCGCCCTTGCCCCGCTCTGCCTCCACTGCTACCCCGCACCTCAAAGCCTTGGCTCCTCCAGTTAGCAAGAAAGTCACAAACCATAGTATCTTCCATGATACTCGAGGGGGGAGAATCCTAAGAGAGAAAACAGTATTTTGTAAGTCTCTAAAAGCACACCCTTGTGGCTCCTACGGCAAATGTACACGAGAGCGGACCTTGTGAAGCCCGTGGACGAGTCACCCATGCTTCCCTCTTGCCTTGAGAAAGACCCCGATCCATGGCAGGGGTGGGTGTTATATCCCAGTTCTGAGAGAACAAAGCCTAAAGGTTTCAAAGCTCAAGTCTCTGGAGAGCGGCAGTGGCCGCGGACACCGTGGCGCTAAGGTGACAGTGACCGGGCTGCAGCTGGAAGGACAGACAGCAACTGTGGTCAAGATGTGGAAAGCAGGGTTGCTTCTAGACAAGCACATGCACACCCATTCTTGATTTGACAACACAATCTAGTCTATTTCAGATAGCCAAGAATTCAACAGCTTGGAAAACAAAAAATCTTCAACAGGATAGCTGTCCTCAACTCTAAAATAAGCAAGAAGAGAAAGATAATTGCTGATCTGAATCAGTTAATTGAAGAAGAAACCTAAGTTGTTGCTTTAGATTAACAGGCCTCACAAAAGGGTATTTGCCGTCACATATCGCTCTCAAAAAATAATTTGTACTACGCTGCAGGATTAGAGATGAGTTCGAGAAAAGAGCTCTTCTTCGCCAGGGTCCACCCACTCGCCTCCGCCCTCCGAGCCGGAGCCCTCCGAGCCGGAGCTGGCGCTGGAGTAGATCTTTCTGCGGAAGCCGCGGGGTTTTGCTCCGGCACCTCTCTCTCCTGCACACCTTGCTTCATAAACAGAAGACACCTGGGATGAAAGAAACAGTTTTCAACAGATCAAAAGCCAGACTTTTTCCCCAAAGGGCTACATGACACACTCCCGACATACAGAGGGCAAACAGCAAATCGCCGGCTTCCTGGGGAGACCCGCAGGCGACGAAGAGCTGCACTGCTTCGGGGCAAAAAACCATCACACTCTCCTCTGCAGTCCGGAAAGCGGCCAAAAGGCTGATTCTGTATGTTGAGTCCCTGGGACAAAACGTTCCAAGTGTGAGGACTGACTGCACAAGCCAAGGTATGAGGGCCGCCCCGCTGGGGGCTGGGCCGAGCACTGGGAACCCGGGGAGGTCGGCGCGGCCGTGTTGTCCCCGGGCTCACATTCTGGGAGAGGCCACAGCAAGCCGACCAAGCAACAGCACGGCACGCCGCAGTTTTTGTAAATGGGGCGCTGCGGCCGACAGGGGAGGCACGGGCAGGGGACACACACACGCTCTCTCTTTCTCTCTCTGACAGCTGTGGCAGGGGAGGGCCTTCTGAGAAGCGTCCTCACCTGAAGGCCGAGAAGCACGCCTTGTGTAAGGAACAGCCAGAGCTTGCCTGGGGGCCGGGCTTCAGAAACCGGAGTTCTAAAAACTCTCTATTGTGTGGGACTGTCCCCCACACACCAGATGGTCAGCATCTCTGTCCCCCAGGACACTGACTGCAAATGGCAGCCCCTCCCTAGTCACAGCAACTACCAATGCTCCCCGAACCCCGTCAGACAATGAGTGACACCCCCCTCCCCCCCATGGCCACCTGCAATGCCGCCCCCCGACCCCACCCCGAGGTGATCAGCAAAGCTCCCGTTCCTCAGTGGCCAGAACCAAGCCGCCCCCACGGGCCAGTTATAGTAACCAGCGACATCCCGCCGCCTCTCCAAGTCACAGTAACGAGCAACGCCCACCCCCTCCCCCACAGTAACCAGCACACCCCCAGTCACAGTAACAGTATCCACCCCCCGCATCATACTAGCTAGCAGTACCCCTTCCCCAGTCACAAGAACCCCCATCACAGAACCCAGGACCACCCCCCTCCTCAGAGTAGCCAACACCCCCCATTTCCAAATGGCAGCACTGTCCCTGGTTGGGACCCCTGAGGCAGCAGCAGAAGACAGCCACAAGGAAGGACAGGCGAAGAGAGGATGTGAGGCCAGAGGCACACGAGGGCAGAGCACGACAGGGCCTTTTTCTGGGCAAGGCGCAGGGACATAAGGCCACTCTGGTTAGGAGCGGGAGTGGCTGAGTCCCAGCGAAAGCTCGAGGCTCAGGACTGCACTTTGCAGTGAGGCTGCAAAGCCTCAGACAGGACGTCCCGAGTCTGTGCAGAATGGCACAGGGACAGCCCCCCCATCAGGCGTCGTGAGGAGCAGCGAGGGAGTGCTCAGCCTGGACAGGGTGCAGGAGGTGGGAGAAGGGGAGGGCGGGGTGGTCAGGGCCAGGGGCCAGAGAGTGGCTCCCAGGCATGGGTGTGGCGGCGGGGGTGCCACAGGGCACCCCCCACAGAGGTGGGAAAGATAGGACCACGGGTGCCAACACCCTAGGGTGCCCTGGGGGAAAAGTCCTCACAGGACAGCGCTGACACAGAAAAGAGACACGTGTCCTTATTCACCCACCTGCCTGCCTAGCGGGAGCTTACAGGCCTGGTGGGGAGGCAGTGCTACAGAAACCAAAAGCAGCCCGGGCTCAGGGCTGAGGCCAGAGTGCCACACAGGGCATGGTGAGGGCAGAGGAAGGTGGGGTCCATCCCTGGAGCTCACCAGAAGGGTCTCCCGGTGCTGCCCACCCAAGGGCTTCTGGGGGAGTGCCAAAGTCCAACTGGTAGGCAGGAATTACCAGTGGCAGCACTGGGAACGATAGACTGGGGGTAGCGAGGGCAGGAGTGTGGGAAGCCTTGGTAGTAAGCGGACAAGGTGGGAGGAGATGAAGGTGGGGACTGAGGGCCTGGGAGCTGGGTCACTCGGGACTGGCAGGGGAGTGGGGGGGAGCTCCCAGGGCTCCCAGGCTCCAGCCTGAGTGGCAAGGAGATGTGGCTGTTAGTAAGTTAGTAAGGAGGAGGACAGTCCACTTACCCTATTAAAATCTAACAGACGCTCTTCGTTACTGGGTATGTCTTTACCATCTGGACACTCTTCTATACCATTCTCTCCCTTGGCATTTGTATAACAGTCTTAATCATTTTGAATGGAGAAGGGAAAAGAGGGAAAGGGGGGGAAATTTCATTAAGACACAGTTATGAAACATACATTTTTGTTTCATTTTTTGCTGAGTCAGATCAGTTAGGTTTACCAACCCTCTGCAGAGTTTAAGGACTCACTAAAAGCAGACACGCGCACACCAGCCAGCCAGGTATGCACGAGCAAAATGCTACGTCCAATTAAAAATTCTAGTAAACTGTTTATCGAGTTTTTAAAAGACAGGCTGGCATAACCAGACATGCCTATTATCCCAGCATGAGACAATCATTCAACAAAGCACAAATTCACACCTGTACTAGGGTAAGCCCTGGAACACAGGATAAAGACCAACAAGGCCTGAGCTCTCACAGCGTACGGAGTGCAGAGGGAGACAGACGATGCGGTGCGTGTGTGTTCATCTAACAAATGAATAAAAGGGGCTTCCGACAGGAGGAGTGCAGTGGGAAAGACAGAACGGCGACCACCTTGTCTGTTCCCTCTCAAGACAACATCACGCTAAAGCTCACCTGCCCTGTATCTGCAGGACAGGGAAGAGAAAGGAGGCTTGTGGTCTGAGTAGGCAAGCAGCCCACAGAAGGGGATGGAATTAGAAGCAATCAAACAGATCATCTAGGCCAAAGTTCTCAGCCCTGGGAGCTTGAAGCCCAGCCCACCAGCCCAGGCCCCTACCTGAGATCCTGATGGATCTGGGCAGGGCCAGGGGGTTCTGATGCGCAGCCATGGCTGACCGCTGCCAGTCTCAATCCAGACCCGCGCCCCCACACAGCTGCGGACACACAGTGACGAGAGAGGAGACAGCTGGTAGGCCCAGGGCAGACCCTGGCTTGAAATCACCGTGTGCAAATCCTGTAATGCCCCCAGTGGAGCATGTTTCCTGTTGACTGTGGTCCAGTTACCACGAGGAGTTCAAGGAGATGACATGCTCCCCATGCGTGACACAGGAGCGGACAGGACTGATGCTCAGTGACCACTGTGCCCTCGTACCACTGGGAGTGGGCCACATCACATTCTCCATGACCTTTAGCTCTCTCTGCCTGCCTCAGGACCTCGAAGTCACCAGCTCAGGTTCACGAAAATAACCCGGACACCGGGACTACACCCACGTGAGCGGACCCCTGCTTCTGCACTCACCTGCGATGTAACTGGCTCTCTTTGAGCCCTGGCTCCCTCAGCTCTAAAACAGGGTCACCATCTGCCCGCCTGGGGTCCTGTGCACAGTAGAAGAGGTGACGCGCAGGCAGCCTCAAGAACGGCGCCGCATGCCGGCTGGTGAACCAAGACCCTGGCCGGCTCGCCCACTCAGCCCACCTGACCAAGCACCATGGGCCCCATGCACCCCGTCAGCTCATCACCACAGGAACAGTAACGGTCTCCTGGACTAGGATATGCCCTGGGTGGAGCCGGAGTCAGCCGTCCCTGACTCCTGCACTTCCCGGCCCCGCTGTCAGGATTCTGTATGTACAAAAGGAGCTCGTGACACCACAGGTGTCAGGAATGGGCAGTGGTGACTGTGGACAATGTTCTTTGTGATCTGCCCGTGGACAGCTCCCGTGTTCCAGGTTAGGACCACGTGCCAGGGCTGTGCTATGCACGTTACTTGTCAGAAGTACCCCCTCGGGGAGGAACTATCGTTAGCCCCTTTCTACAAACACAAACAATGGAGACACAGGAGGTCTGGTCACTGCCCCAGGTCTACCAGCTGGCCATGGAGGCCCTGGGCTCCAGCTCCGTTCTGTCTCCTGAACTCTTAACTGTTATCTGTATGGTTTCCCTGCAGGGCTTTCTCCAGAAGACTGAGCGAACACCCACACACTTACAATGAATGAGCCTTCCAAAGGTTCAGAATTCAGCGCATGAGCTCTCGAGACCACCACTCAGGACAGACCCGTCATGGCTTGGGGTGCACAAGACCCTCGTGCTCTGGCTGCTGGCTTCCGGCAGACCATGTCCCCACCGCACTCTCACATTGCTCCTCTCTGCCAGGCACACCGGGGTATACCAAGCGCATCCTGCTCCAGCGCCAGCCAGAGCTGCTGCCCGGGCACCTCCCACTGCAGGTGGCCCCCACTGTCACAGGGCTCATATCCTCACTCCCTGTGCTGGTGCTGGGATGTGAGCTCATCAGGAGGGCCCCCAGGGCCTGGCACAAGGCAGGCCCGTAAGCAACACCAGCATGTGGCTACATCCGTGAAGGCACAGGTGGCAGGGTGCGGGGCTCAGACTGGTGCCCCAGCAGCAGGGTGCCTCGATCAGCTGGCTGACTCCGAGTCTCCACCTCCTGCCTTACCGTAAAAACAGATGATCCCCCTCCTCTCCGGGGGGGCTGGGAGCTGCCAGGTCACCCCGGACTCGGGGGGCTTGTTATTAACCCCCAGCCAGGCTACAAGAGACTCCAATCACTCCTGCTGAGAAGGCAAGAGGCTCCCCATTTTCCTGGCCAACCTGCTCCTGAGACAGCTCGCCCCCACCCCACAGGCCACAAGAGTGAGGCTGGTCATGTCACGGTGACAAGGCACCTGCGCAGGCATTTAATGCATAGCTGTGAGGCGAAAGTCATTCCCAAGCCTGGTGGCCATTACCTACCCACTGAGAGTCTCTCTGTCACTTCAGAGACAAGCGCCGTGCCCTAACCATCCCTTAAGGGCCCAGGCTAAAGGTCAGGACTGACTCCTAACTAATGACAAGAAACCAGACTAAGGCTGCCAAGACGCCCTTGACACACTAATGAAGCTTGAACTCAGCATCTGAGAGCCATCCTAAACCCCCACAGGGACTGGTCTTCTGGACCCCCAGCGCTGCCTACTGCCACTTCCTTCCGTCTGGCTGCACCACTCTGGGGCACTGGGCCTCCCTTAGCTGCATTCCTGTTAAACTCACCGGCGACTGGACACTCGCGGTGCACGGAATGGATCTATGTCACGGCCAGATCTGGGCTCCCCTGACCCTGGCGCCTCCCTGGGCACCGAGGGAAGACGGTCTGGATGCGAGCCTGAGCTTGCCGGTTAGTGCAGGATTCTGGACAAACCGTCAGACCTGAGTCTCAGCGCCTCCTCATCTGTAAACTAGTGCTGCCGCCTCCCAAAGCTACGGTGGGGCCTACGTCAAAGGAAAGCCTGGGAGCACTGTAAACCAGAGAAGGCGGCCCAGATACTAGCTCAGAAGTGGAATGACCGCTCTCTAATAAATGCAGTTAAATAAAGATGCTAAAAATGAAGACTCCGCCTTGTGCTCTTTCTGACCCAGCGAACCTCTGGGAAGAAGGAAGGCAGGCTCTGGCGAGGGCGTTCAGGGGCTCACAGCACAGAGAGAAACAAACAGCACCCCCACCATTGGTGAAGGCCAGGCTGCAGAGGGAGGCCAGCGCTGGCGGCCCGAGCGCTGGACCGAGCCAGGCACGGCAGGCAGTGAGCGGCGCCACGGGCTCCACGGTCATTACATGAACCGGAAGACACGACGGACACGTGCACGTGTGAATACTAACCAATGGGGTATGTGCCACTTCCAGCTCCGATGGCAGAGACTGTTGGATGGCATAGCCCACGGCAGCCCGGGGCCGACGGCATGCCCTCCGCAGCCCTCACTACCCCCAAGGCTTGCGGAGTTTTCATGGCTGCCAGGCATGTCCTCCCAGGAGGCTCCCAGACCCAAATCCCCTTCACCCAATGTACTCCTGCTCCGTCTGCCCCCTGCAGGTGCCCCTCCACCCCCTCCTGCTGCTCACACCTCACAGGGTCACTCCTGAGGCCCTGGAGTCCTCGACTGAGACCTCTTCATGCTGTCCTCCCTACAGGGGTAGTAGGGCCTGAGGCCAGGCCTTGACCTGGGCCTCCCTGACAGCCAGTACCAGGGGCCCAGAACCCCAGCTGGTACCAGAGCTATTCTACCCCTTCTCCACTCTGCTGCGAGTACTGTCCTAAAACACACATGGACCTGACAGCCTCCAATTTGCTGTCTTCTCAGTGGCCGTCCCTTCCTGCACACCACACTCCACTCATACCAGCGGTACTCCCGCACCTCCAGCCAGGCTTCTTCCCTGCCTGCCCTTCTGGCCTCAGCTACCACCCAGCTGGGCCCACTTGGGACCACTGGGCCCAGAGACCCTCTTACCCTCCTGCAAGCTGACCCTTTCACGGGGTCTGCCCTCCCCCACCTTCCCCACCTGGGCGGCTTCCTGAAGATCCCCCCATAGGTGATTCCCCCAGGATTCACAGAGATCTTGAACAGGCCTTGGTAAAGGCCAGACCTGCTTTTATGCATTTCCATGCCTTTCCCCACCTTAGGCTAAGGGCGGGCTGCAGTCCTCACTCATCTCTGCGTCCCTGGGGCCTGACAATGCCACCACCCAGAAGCCTCCCGGTAAGTGCCTGGCGCAGTGAAAGAATGTGTTGTTCTCAATGACGAGAATCCAAATGATGAACCAATGACCTAACACAGGCCTCCTTACCTTCACACTCTGACGCAGGAAAGAGAGGAGAGTACAAGGCTTTTTCCCACCAGGTTTGCTTTTCTTGACTCCTATTCATTCCTTGAACATCAGTGTTCAATACGGGAAACTGTTTAGGTTAAACAAATATGAAAAAAAGTTTACAAACTTTCAGGATAAAGGAGAAAATTCAAACATTATTAACTAGAAACTACAAATCCAGGATTTTTAAACTGATGAATTTTTTAATATTGTTCTAGACCAGGTGAATTTATTTATTTTTTTAGATGTTACTTTTTTTTTTTTTTTTTAAGAATTTATTTATTTGACAGAGAGAGATCATAAGTAGGCAGAGAGGCAGGCAGAGAGAGAGAGGGAAGCAGGCTCCCCGCTGAGCAGAGAGCCCGATGCGGGGCTCGATCCCAGAACCCTGAGATCATGACCCAAGCCGAAGGCAGAGGTTTAAACCACTGAGCCACCCAGGTGCCCCTTTAGATGTTACTTTTAAGTAATCTCTATACCCAATGTGGGTTTCAAACTCACAACCCTGAGATCAAGAGTCACATCCTCCACTGACTGAGCCAGCTGGGTGCCCCAACGAGGTAAATTCAAAAGGCCTCAGGGTTGGGGCACCTGGGAGGCTCAGGTCACAATCCCAGAGTCCCAGGATTAAGCCCCGCACTGGGCTCCCTGCTCAGCGGGGAGTCTACTTCTCCCTCTGCCCCTACCCCATACTCATGCTCTCTCTCTCTCTCTCTCAAATAAGATCTTTAAAAAAAAAAAAAAAAAAAAACGTGTTCATAACATATAAAGGAAGTTTTTCTTAAGAAAGATGGTGGAAGTGAGAATGAAGATCTCTTTAAAAAACAGGACAAGGGGAGCCTGGGTGGCTCAGTGGGCTAAAGCCTCTGCCTTCAGCTCTGGTCATGATCCCAGGGTCCTGGAATTGAGCCCTGCATCAGGTTCTCTGCTCAGTGGGGAGCCTGCTTCCTCCTCTCTGCCCACCTGTGATCTCTGTCAAATAAATAAATAAAATCTTAAAAAAAAAAAGTAAAAAAACAAAAACAAAAACAAAAAAAACAAACCAGACATGACAAAACCCTTCCAAGGCAAAATATCCCCAATTAATATCCCAGACTAGGCAAATTTCTAGATTTGGGAAATGCAGGGAAATAAAAGGGCGGCCCTAAGTGTCCACTGGTATGAGACACTCCAGGGAAGAGAGAGGACCCTCTTCTTCACACACTCGGCAGGAAGAAGTCAAAGATGACAGCATGGGATGAAAGAAACTGAAGAGAGAGAATTACCAACTTCCATGGCTTTTTAACTCCATTATGTGCTTTGCTGAGAACCAGAGGACGCTGGGACTCAAGCCAAAGAAGGCCTGTAGACCCCCGTCTGCGCCCCTGCTTCAGAAAACATTCTCACCATGTGTTCAAGCTTAAAACCTGAGTGCTCTTAGCAAACAATGACTGTCAGTCCTCTGACAGGACTTTGCTTTTCTCTTACATGTGAACTGTCTTACGGGTAAAAGACTTTTTGATTCAATGAGTTTATTATTTAACTAACAGGAAATACCTCAAACCTTTATTTTTTTTCACTTCACATAATTTTGCAGAAAGAAATATTCTTAAGTGAGACACTGAAGGAAAATGGTACCGTGTACCCAGCGTGGCCAGTTAACTTCACTGCGTTTTCCCCCAGCTTCCTCCAACAACAGTAGTCAGCACCCCTCTGTTACGTACACAGGACAAGACTCAGCTTCATGCAAACAAAGCCACAACAGCCAAGGTCTATGGCTAGTTCAAGGACATTAACTGCATTTGGTGTATAATTCACAAAACCCCTAGACCTTTCCAGAAAGGCCTTCTCTCCAAGGCGCATCTACTCTCACTATCTGGGAGGAGCAAGAGGGCTCCCTGGACAGAAGAGCTGCCCTCCTCCCCAAGGCACCACTGCAGGCAGACGGATTTGGAGGCAGCAAGTTTCCACCTGCAGAAGAAAATGTCCCCAGCAGCTGTGCAACAATTAGCGTTTACTCGTGCGACCCCGTCCCAAGACCGTGGGAGTCGGGGCAAGGGTAAGCAAGGGAGGGAGAGAGAACTCACTGCAGGGTGTGGGAGATGGCTGGGAGAGCAGGCCGGAGAGGTCAGCGTGAACGAGAGGAGGCTAGACAAGAGTAGAGCGGGAAAGGCAGGAAGCCCGTTAGGGCAGAGCCCATGCCTTGATTGTCTGTGTGTCTCCAGCACAGGGCCTGCACAAAGTGGATGCTCGAGTCTGCTAGCCTGAAGGAAAGGCTCTCCCCCGACGCAGGTCCCCCATTATGTGGCCCACCGTCCCCCACCCCCTCTGCCCCCAACCTGTTCAAGTCATGCCAGTTTCTGCTCTAGTTTTAGGAAATTTTCTGCATCCTCCCCTTGAAAGTCAGTTCCCAAGGCAGAGTTCTCTGTCCTGTTCTGTGCTACACTGAGTAACCCCCTGATGAACATGCATCATCTTAGGACATTGTTGCACAGCAGCAATGACCATGCTTTGCTTAAATAGCCTCTTCTGGATGCACGATTCCGTTTCTGGCTGACAGGGAATGGAGGGAAGGAAACCAGACGAGGCCACAGCCGTGGGCGGGCTGGTCTCCGCTGTCCCTGTGCCTCTCTCCCTCTCCTCCGACAGCTGCTTGGCTCCCTTTCTCACCTGCCAGCCTGTCTTCAGAGGGCACCTTCACCGAGAAGCCAGCCCTGAGCTCCGGCTTCTTGTGCCCAGTCCTCCAGGCGCCCCACTGCACTGCAGCCTGAGCCAGCTCTCCGCCCTCTCCAGATGCGGCACTGAGTGACAGGCCACGGGCTGTCGCTGAATGTGACCCAGCCAGGGCAGTGCTCTGTGCTGGTCCCCCACACCCAGGCCAGCACTCAGACAGGGCGTGCTCCCCAAAAATACTCAATGATGAATGAAACCGTGAAGTAACAGAGAAGACAATTTAAGCCAGAAAGCCTGACCAGTAATGTTTTCTAGCAAAGACAGGATACTAAGAAAGTCTTTAGAAGCTGGAAGCTGGGTAGGGGGCACCTCTCTGCACTCTTACTAAGTCCTCCTGGGTCTGGGAAGACAAAGATCCCTGCTGTTCCTCTTTGAGTTCTACTCTGGGAAGAGCACAGAGAAGTGCCCCTCACCCACAGTCCGCTCCCACCCACCTGGGTCACAAAAGGAAAAGCCAGCCCATGTAGATGAAGAGCTGCAGAGGGCCACTGAGACCAATGAGAGACGCTGCGTGGCAAAGCAGAGCAAAGAACTCAGGCTCTGTCCCTGACGGTGGGCTCAGGGGCAGGGACTCCACCCCTCTGGGCCTATGTGGCCTTCACAGTCCGGGGAGGGGGACAGAAACCCATCACAGAAGGTCACTGTGGGCATTCACTGGGATAATGGTGCCAGGGCAGAGTGGGCACAGGGCCAGGTGCCATACCCCAAGGATGGGTCCCCTACCTCCTCCACTCATCAGAGCCTTCTGATGCCACTGCAAATTGTCTGTGGGCAAAACGGCCTTCTCCCCGGGACTGGACTGCAAACTCCGGAGGGCAGCCCAAGCTTTCTGCTGCTCTTCTGTGCTCCTGGACATGTGGCGCTACAGTGGCAACAGGTCAGTGACGAGGAGAACCCTTACACCACAAACTTACGCACAGACAGACATGGGAGACACACTGTGCTGCTCCTCACCTCCCATTTTGTATTTCAGAAGCCAAGAACTGACCGCTGGCCGATACCCCCTCGCCTTTGCTGATGCTGATCCCTCTGCCTCGAGTGCCCTACCGCCTCCTCACCCTCCTGCCCCAGGATGTGTGCAACCCCAGGTGTGAGCCACCCCAGGTGTGCGCCACGAGCGTCCCTCCATGCTTGCGCTCACACTCATGCTCACTGTTGAGACGGCTTCCTTGGGCTCCCGAGGCCGCCTGCGGTCACCTCCACCACGCCACCTCCCCCCACTTCTCCCTTCAACTACTTCTGCCCAGATGCCCTGAAATGTAAGGAACTGGCTCGATAAACCCTAGTACATCTGTCCATACAGTGGAACAGGACACAGAAAATAAAAAAGGCTGATTACAATAAAGTGCCATTTCTCCGAGAAGAAAAACAGAAGAGGAAACATATGTGGATGTATCTTTGCCTCTACACACATAAACAGCCTTGGAAAGCCGTGCTGGGACGCAAGCTTGCAGCTGCCACGGGAACGCCCTGTTCGAGGTACACACCCCCTCCCGTAACGTCTGCATTAAAACCAGGTGATCAATGACCTACTTCAGTTGAAGTAAATGACTACTTCCAAAGCAGTCTTTGTAACTAGACTGACTTCTTCCAGTGTGAGGACGGGGACCTGTTTGTACATGACACCATGTAACGGGTATTCAGAAAATGTTTGCTGTACTGACTGAACTAAGTTTTTGAAAAGAACCCATGCTTCTGGACACCAATTCTATCAAAATTCCTACATTCTACGTTTTCTCTTTTCAAGTAAACCCCACACCTAATGGGGCTTGCGAACTCACGACCCTGCAAACAAGGGTTAAGGCTCTGCCAACTGCACCCGCCAGGCGCCCCTAGAGTTCCTACATTTTGGTCCACTTGCTCTGAGCCAGGTGGCCTTGCACTAGTGACCTTTACCACAGGGCTCCCAGACCGCCCTTTCTCAGGAAAAGGGGGAAGACGACTCTGGTTGGAGCCCGCCTGGACTGCCCAGGCGGTGTGAGAGTGGCAAGTCAGACACCATCGTCACTCTGGTCCCTTCCGCTCAGGCTCTCAGGACGTGAGCCCCATCCAGCTCTACACTGGAGCACCGATGCCCAGAGCCTGGGGCTGATGGGAGCAGGCCGCTGGCTGACAACCCCACAACGTCCCTGCGTCCCATTCTAGCCGCTGAGACCTTCCAAGACAACCTGGAATTCTGATAACACATAAATCCATCAACACACTAGAAAGTGAAGGAATATGGCACTAGTATGATGTAGAATCTCGCTTCTTCCCTCTTTTTCCTTCTTTCCAATTTGGAACCAGGTGAAATACAAAGGTACACAAAGGAATATTCAAGGCTACAAAGCAGGGACAACAAACAAACAGGTGAAGGCTAACAACACGACTGCTTCCCATTCCTGGCAGCTCGGCTTGTGTCTCAGCGGGACCCAGTGCATGACGCCCCCCCCCGAAGGTCTCTGGGCAGGCTCCTCGGAGCAGCGACCCTTGAGTCGTCTGTGGGGCTTCCTCCCACCACACGCACTCAGGACCCCCAGGCACTTGGCCCCTCAAGCGACGAAGGCACAGTCTGTTTCCATTAGGAGCTTATAACCCAACGAGAGAAAGTACATGATGACTCATGAAACGGGCACTGCAACAGGAAAAGAGGCACAGTGCGTGAAAAGAGAAGGGAGGCATTAGTTCTGATGTGGGAGGGGGCGGGGAAGGGGAGAGAGGAGGAATTAGGATGCGGGTCAGAAGGGGGGACGGACTGAAGAGAGCCTCGCTGTCTGGGGAGCAGTTAGCAGCAGTAGAGGTGGGGGGAACGAGCACCGGGGTGGAGAGGAGAGAGGACATTCAGCTACTCTCCGGCCATAGGCAGCATGACTTCCAAGCACCTCCAACTGTCTTTTCACTAAGCTGCTCCTGGACAGAGGCCAGGCACTGCTGATCGAGTATGGGCTGAGAAATGGGCAGATTGCTGGGCTTTTCTGTGAAACAGATTAGCACCTTCAGTGATAGTTCCAGCACACTCCATTTAACCTCAAACCACGTCTCAGAAGTCGTCAGAGGGTACAATGACTCCCATTCACAAAACTACCACCATTGGCCCCATTTTAACGTGTGAATTGCAGCGCTTTAGGACGGTACCCTTGGTACACAGCGGGTCTCAGCTCTGTAGGTCCCATAGCGGCTCTTCTGATGCACAGGGACTGGGGGTTTTTACACGTACCACCATCTGTTTGAAGGAACTCCACACAGATGTAACTTATTTTACGTGTAAAACCTAAGTCCTAAACCAATCTGTGTTTCGGGGACTGTGAGATGGGTTGCTACCTCAAAGAGGCCCTCTGTCTCTGCTTCCGAAGAGCATGGGGCCTTCCTCAGGGTGAACAGCCACTTTGTGATCCGTCCGCTTCGAAGGCCAGAAGGCCAGGGTACTCGGTTTGAAGCACAGTACGTGCGTATTAAGACAGACTCTTACTATCTTATAATTTAAAAATGTCTTTTCTCTGCAGAAGAGGTCTACGGTCTAGTTCCAATTTATAAATATCAAACCCATTTTAAGTCCTGACGTAAAATCATAAGCATGTAAGTTTTAAGACGCTGAAGTTAATTTCCCAATACTTTCACCCTATCTTCCACTGCTTGATCCGGCTGCTCCTGCATTCGAGTCCAGTTAACAACTTCGATCAAGCACCAGCACACACAGACAACCACCTACCTCTTCCAGCTGTCCCGAAGAAACCGGATTATCTTCGTAAGCAGGAAACTGACAACCTGCTTTGCAACTGCAAAAATTATTAATTTCTTCCTCACATTGTGCCATTATTTTACAATTAGCTTCTGAACTTTCTAAAGCAATTTCCAGAGATTCATTCATGCTACATTCCAAACACTGATCCTGCTTCCCCACTGGCAGAATCCCAGCTGATTCCTCCTGAGAATCCAGTGATGTCTGAGCACTCTTTTCCATGCCAGATTTTTTTAACCTGGGGAGGAATTTTCCAGACTCCAGCTCTGATTTTCCATAGTAATGGCCTTCTTTCTCGGCATCTTCTTCCAGTGGTTGGAGATCTGCCTGTGGATCTTCAAATGTATCAACCTGAGAAGGAATGGGAATATTTGCTTCATCTTTCTCAGATTCAAATTCTGACTCACTTCCTCCTCCCGGGGACAGCTCGGATGCAGAAATGGGGCGGAAGTGAGTCCGAGGAGAGATCCGAATCGCCCGGTACTGTGTTCTGTCAACGCCACAGATTCTGGGGTGAAAAACTTCGCTGTCTGAATCAGAGCAGAGGATTGACTTCGGTTTGAAACTAGGGCTGAAAGAGGCAATCCCCTCGGGTTCAAACGAACACTCCACATGAAGAACTTGCGAGAATGGATTGCTTAAGTCAAAGGACGAGAAGGAATATTCCAGCCCAGGATCCTCAACCTGAAAGTTACCACAAGCTCCTAGTAAGTCTTCATGGAAGATAAAAGAAAATCCCTTATTTAATCCATTTTCCCCACTCCTCGGCTGATCACTCTGTTCGAATGACATGAAGGGCTTCCACAGCTGCCTGTGACCGGGAGCGAAGCTGTTTCCTGGGGTCATGAAGACGTCCGTACCAGCTATGGTCACGACGTCGGAAGCCGCACACTGTAACAGGCTTCCCTTGGTGTGACTGGGCGGCACGACTGCCCACTCCCCATCGCTGCTGAAGGTCTTGAGTTCTCCGTAAACTCCACCGAGAATGAACGTGTTCTCTTTGTCTGGGGCCACGTCCCAGGGTTTAGAGGGTGTAGTGTAGTCGCCCCCGTCCACCTTCGAGGGCGCCCCAGAAACGAACGCTCTCTTCTCCAGGCTCTCCTTCTGCCCCTCCCACAGACGATACTCGGACCTCTGCACGGCCTTGTGGGGCTCCCGCAGGCTCTCAGCCTCAGCCTCGGCGTCCAGGCAGCAGCAGTAGTTACCGACGTCTGTTGGGAACAACTCCTCGTCAACTCTATCCATGTCCACCGGCGCGGCAGATCCCCCGTCTACCATCTTTGTCCAAATGTCTTTAATAACCCCTGAGCTGTAGCCGCCACCACGTGGACCACTCTCGCCACCCCCTCGGGCAGTTTCCACGGTTTTGTGTTCTGTCTTTTGTTCGAGCTGAATACCACAGACAGATTCTAGTTTCGATTTTTTTTTGAAAACTAAGGTAGGAATTTCTCCTAATGTTCTGTTTTGCTGGCAAGTTTCATCTTGCAAAAAATCTAGAAGTTCTTCATCTACATAATTTGACGAGACTCTAGGAACTACATAATTAATATCTTCTGCATTAAACTGAGTGGACTCTTCAAACTGAATATTTAATGTCTCGTTGTCTGAACGTGTTTCTTCTGAATGGGACCATGGGCTACAAGTTCTTGTTGAAAGATTAGAACAGTGTTCATTTTCTTCAAAGGCACTATTTTTGGTCCATATTAGCAATCTAGACTGGGTTTTCCCAAGCATATTAGCACTAGAATCCGTATTTTCATTTCCCAAGTTGAGAGTTTCAAACGAAAATGGTAGAACAGAATTACTGCATTGCACTTCAAACACTGAAAAACACGAGTTTATGCCAGATCCTTCATTAATATCTGAAAAGAGCTCCTGATTGCCAGCAAGCAAATGCGGACTGAGTGCTGTGCTGTCCAAGATCGGAGAGAGTCTAACTGGAGAGTCTCCGCCGAAACTCTCTCCGTCGGCATCGCCCGAGCTGGATGAACAGCACTCCCAAAACTGAGCCAGGTTGCCCAGGTCTTGCAGGAAGAATCCCTCGGCACCCACAGTGCTGGTGGAATCTGTCCATATTGCACGTTCCCCTTGCAACTCCATTCCATCTAACACTATGCAACATTCTGCCTCAAAATCCGTTTTCTCTTTGCTTTTTTGTCGAATCATATTCAAAATCCGACTTTCTCCTTGCATTGTTTCTGAGGCACCAGGATCCAACATGGATTGATCAATATCCACTTCATAGAAGTGTGTTAATTCTGATAGATGAATATCATCCAGATACTTGTTGTCCTCTGGGAGAGAACAGAACGAGGTCCCAGTGAGGTCAATATCCTCATTGATAACCGCAGGCATTTCTACAAAATGACCATCAATGAAAGTACCTGCTGCGAGGTATGTTTTATGAATATTATTGTTGCTGATACAAAGACCGTGCACAGATTCTGACAACTCTTCCACCGCCTCTGACGTCAGATCACTCGTATCCTGTCGGTTTCGGTACGTGGTCTCCAGTTTACTTTTTCTGCTCAAAGGAACGAAATACTCAGCAATCGGTTCAGTGTACCACAGTGGTTCCTCTTTATATTCTCTGTCGTTTCTGCTCTCCAGGGACAGATCTCTTCCTTCCGCGCTGCCGGCGTCTCTTCTCCCCGGGTCCTTCAAGGGCCTCTTCCCGCGCCGGCACAGCGGCTTGATGGGGGCTCCCCCACCTCCGCTCCCCCCCGCATGCATGCCCCTCTCAGCCTTGTCGCCAGTCTTCAGCGAGAGCCTGCTTGGCCCATTCCGCCCTTTCTTGTTGCGAATCTCTCGGGTCTTGTGTCTGACTTTCACACACTTCACGGATGCTTTTAGTTCTCCCTGATGACCACTTGAACTTGAGCCTGCTTCACTCGAGCCAGAAGACCAAGAGCGAGGGCGAATCTTTCCTTCAGGTTTATGTCGGATCTGCTTTTTGTACAAAGCAGGCTTTTCTTCCATTGTGCCATTACTGAATTTGTTCTCCTTCTCACTTTTACTTCTGCTCTGGATTTTCGTGTGTACGGTGCCTGGCGCTTCATTGCTTCTTTCCTTGCTGACTTCGCCTTCGCTGTTGCAGTCCTTGGGGGAGGATGTGTCTGTGCTAGCTGCTGGGGCTGTGGATGATGAAGAAGGGCTAGAGTAAGAACAGACTTTAGACTTGTTCCACACAGTCATGATCTCCTGTAGGCAAACTGGTTTCTCAGACAGTGGCGGAAATGCTTCATAGTACCTGAAAAACAGAGGACAGAGTTCAAAAGCAGGCATTTAGATGTACAAGATAGAGCAAAACAACATTCCCTCCCAGGTGGGGCGACGGGGTATTTCACTTTAACAGTCAACATTTACGTCATCCACAGACTAAAACTTAAAAAAAAAAAAAAAAAAATTTGAATAATACAGTAAAATATACTTTATGTTTAGTCCCGTGTATCAAGCACCTTTATGTTCAGCACTGAGGTTGGCACTAATTTAGAAATATTTAGAAAATAGGGAAGAGGACAGTTCTTATCTTTAAAGTTGTCATTTTAATTGAGGAGTCACAAAGGACAAATGCAATATGGTGGAAAGAACGTCACCTTGAGAAGAAATGCCTGCACTTGCATCTCAGCTCACGTCAGTTACTACACATGTGACTTTCAGCTCATTATCTGATGTGTCGATCAACATTCTCAGCTGCACACTGATGAGGACAGGACTTACCTCCCGAGGCCACTGGGAGCAGGGGAAACAGAAGGAGCTGAGAGCCGAGAGCATGTGCTCTGAAGCCGCGCTCCCCGACTGTGAACCCTGACTCCACCCTGAGCAGCTGTGTGACCTCAGGCCCGTGACACAACCTCTCTGTGGCCTGTGAGATACAGGGAATACTACTAGCTGCCTCACAGAGCTGGGAGAAGTGAAGGAATTAATGTACAAGAGGAGCTGGAATATTACGTGGTTGTCGGTCCCCATGAGGGTTCTCATGAGGCCCTCAGAAAACAGGTGGGATTATGCAGGGTGTTCAAGTGGTCAAAAAAGAGGATGCTGGTGCAGCTGAGAACCCTGAGGACAAGTGGCCCACAGCAGAGCCTGGATGCTCCGGAAACGGAGCTTAGGGCCACTACTCGTGAGGCATGGGCGCCCGTGTGCGGACACAAGATCCGAGGAGACCAGTGACTGCAGGAAAAGCCGGGGAGGCTGCTTTTAGAGAGATTGAAAACAAGAACTTGTTTCCAATTTGCCAAGAAGCTGGTAGCCATCGCAGATTTCAGAGCAAGACAGACTGCCAAAGCAAGAACCTGGAGTCAGGCTGCCTACCAAGGGGACTGTCATTCTGGAGGCAACAGTCAAGGTCATACACCAAGTGATAAAAGGCCATGTTTTCAAAGGGCCTATATTTGATTCTCCTTTCCAGCATCTACCAGAGCTGTCTAACAGACATACATGGTGAGCCTCACATGGAATTCTTAATGTCCTAGAAGTCACATTAAAAGTGTAAGAAAAAAAGGTGAAACTGAATTCAATTATGTATTTTACTTAACCAAATACATCCATAACATTATTTCAGCATGTAATTGAGATTTAAAAGTATTTTTTTAATATTAACATATAATGTACTATTAGCCCTGGGTTTACACGTCTGTGAATCATCAGGCTTACACACTTCACAGCACTCATCATAGGATATTTAAAAATATTAACGGAGTATTTTACATTCTTTTTTTTTTTTTTTTTAACCAAGTCTGTGAAATCTGATGAGAATCTTACACCTAAAGCACATCTCAATTTGTAGTAGCCACATATCAAGTGCTACATAGCCACACGCAGCTTACGGAGACTACGCGGGACAGCGCAGGTCCCTACCAGCCAGGAAAAGCTATGTTCACCTTAAGTTCGAGAAGTTCAGAAGATTCAATAAAACATATAAGAAGGAAGTTCTGCTTATAGTGCAGCCATTTTTACTAACTATTTACAAAAAAGCTGCAAAGAGTATCTTCAGGAAACAAGCTTGACAGGGTCAATGACTTGCCCACATTCCTCTGTAATCAGCCGGAGAAACGTGGTCTCCTTGTATGTAAAACACGGATGCCCGTATTTTCTCATAGCCGCCTCCAGGCACTGGAGTGACAGTATGCGAATGGACTGTAAATAATAACCTCGCTTGTTCCATTCATTCATCTCACAAGTACTGATTCTGTCCTAAGCACAGGACCATTTTATTCACATCTGAATTCTGTGTCAAACACAGTAAATGCTCAATGAGTGTTTCCTGAATTATCAAATACGGAACCAAATACAAGACAATGAACAAAAACTGTAAACCACGCAGCAGTTATAGTCTGATTTTAACAAATGCACACTTTATTACTGAATACAATCTTACATACATTTCCACTTGATCCTTTGCTGTAGGGGATAATTCTGCCTCTGGAGAGGGAGACCCCTCTAACTTTTTGTGAATCTTCTCTTCTGTTACGAAAAAAAAATTCAGAAAGATATGTCTTATATCTAGTTAATAAATGCTCCTGTTTTTTTTTAAGTTTCTCAAGTAACTTTAATCAGAACTTATATAGACTTTATGGCTGAAAAAGAACTCTATACCCATCTGTCTTTCTAATAAAAATCCATTTCTTCACAGCCCCAGACGGAATTCTCCAGCTTAACCACACTAACGGTGGGCTGCGAGGGAATAGCTGTCTGTCTCATCGCTGACTGAGTGCTCCAGAGGCACCAGATTAAAGACTAAAATCCTCTATTAATTTTGCCAGACGGAGAAAACATCTGTTGAGATCCTCACAAAATTCTGCACCCATGGATTCTGTATGGACTCATGTTGGACTGACACTACTCTGTAAAGAAAGCCCATTATAATCAGCTCTCTGTTCCAACCATCTAGGTAAGCAAGGGCTGTGGAGTCAACTAAAACAAAGGGCCGAGCTCTCAGCTCAGCCCTTGGGAAGCCCTTCAGTTACAAACAAACTCTTCAGCAAGGCTCAAGGCTTGGCAGGCAGCAAAAATGGCCATGAAGAGGACAATGAAACCAAGACCCTTGACCTCAATATGCAGCTCTCATTCCAAGCGCTTGCAGAAAAGTATCCACAAAAAGCTATGAGGCTTCATGCGTCAAAATGACCTTTATGAGCTTCAAGACTGCCTTTCCAAAAAAACCCAAGTCAAGGCAGAAGTTCCTTTCAAACCTAAAATAGAGACAACACCTCTGGAGGCCTTGATGTCAACAGGCAGATGCCAACAGGGAGGCCAGGGTGGGAAAGAGAAAATATTACTCCTGATCCCCATGCTTCCATGTGAAGGGGAAACAAAACATGCCCCCCAGCCCCCGCCCCCAACAAGGGCACCTGTGAATTAATATACTCCTTTGAGCGGGGATCTATCCACAAGTGACTGCTAAGGGTGACCCGGAAGCCCTAACAGCTGAAGGCACAGCGTGACGCTGGCAAGGCGACACACTGAACACGAAGACGAACTTCCTTCTGTCTGTCTCTGGCTGACTCTAGTGCCTCTGGAATCAAACCCCTCGGGGCCCACAGCTTACTGCGTGCGGATGGGCTCTGGAGGCTACACTCACCTTGCTTGCTCTGAAGGTCCTTCAGTCTGGAGCAGAGCTCCTCCACTAAAGTCTCGATGCCAGAGCTCTGCGTGACAACAAAAATACATGTTACTTCATTGCCAGGCCCTTGGACATGCTTATTTTCATACAAAGGTTTGACCAATCTCCCATGTTCTAAATGAAATATGTTAGTAATATTTAAACCCCACGAGAGGGTTGCCTGGTGGCTCAGTTGTCAAGTATCTGCTTCAGCTCAGGTCATGATCCCAGGGTCGTGGGATCGGGCCCCACATCGGGCTCCCTGCTTGGAGAGCCTGCTTCTCCCTCTCCCACTGCCTGCTGCTCTCCCGCTGCTATGCTCTCTGTCAAATAAATAAAATCTTTAAAATAAATAAATAAAGTACATGAGAGCTGAAACACTCCAGGTTTGCTGCTCTGATTGAGCATACATATTTTATTAACTGAGTACAGTCAATGGCTTACTGATACAATGTGCAAACATTAATATGGCTCCCAGGACGGCTGGTCTTCCTGGGGGGTTAGCATCTCACTGCCGTGCAGCCGACATACCCTCGTACCTATCGCATGGCTAGAAATCAGTCACCAGCCAGAACAATACTCGGTACCTATGTGAGCAAGGCTCTGTACCAGATTCAACACACAGGAGGAAAAATCACAGAAATCTCATGTGGTTCCTCTAGGAGCTTACAGTCTAGAGAAAAGAAGGCCAGTGTTTTCTTTTTTGAAGCGAACACTGGTGACAGCAACAGAAAGAGAAGTGCACAGCATTCAAAGCCGTGCATGAGCGTGAAAGCTTTGTGTTCTCTGAAAGGTCACGAACAGGGTATTAGGCTCCACACGGGGTGGGGGGTGGGCGCTGAGGACACCACGCGCAAGAGCCTGAAATGGGGAGGATAACCAAAAGAGCCAAAGTTGAAAGAAAAATGAATACTGGAAACAGGCACGAACAAATAATCTTCCACTATGTAGACTTTCCAACTTCAACAATTTTCCCTTTCTCAAGGAAGAAAGAAAATTCCTTCACAGGGTACGAGAGGAGCAAATGCATTTCTGAGGCCCTTTATTCAGTGGTCAAAGTCGTGTTTAAACTGGAAGTGAGTCTGTCTTAGGTGGGCCGACCCGGACAGGTGCCCGTGACTCTGCTCAAGCGGCTGCCTTCCTGGGGCCTGGAGGGGCTAAAAATAGAACTTTTCCCCATTCACTCAACTCAAAATGACTCAGCACAAGTCTCAGAGATATCCTAAACAAGAAAGCGCATAGCTCCAATTTGAACAGCAAGAAACAGAGCACAGAGGGAATGGTTAACGGTAGACACGGACAGTTACATCCTATCCACGGCAGACCACAGCTTTTATCGGGGAGACAGGCCAGAGGGTGACAGGGAAATGGGCCACAGAAGAGCCATCCTGCCCTTAAAACCACTCAGAAACCCCGCAGCAAATGTTAGTCACAGACCCTGCTTGGCCGCCACAATTCCATCAGAAAGCCTCGGCTTACCATAGCGCGCAAGGTGTGCTCGACGTGGCTGTTTTATTGCATTCCCTCCAGACTACGAACCTAGCCCGGAGTCAGCTGACACGCCACCTGCTGCACGCTGCTCAGTACAGCAAGCCTATGTCACCGTGTTTCTAAACCTGGTGCCAGGCTCCAGGGAGGAAGGCAGAGCCTCCAGGGATGGCCTGCTCAGCCCCGTTTGGGGCCCTGCGGTGCCTGCCAGCTGTTCCACAGTGTCTGGGGAAAATCATGAGAACGAAGGGATGAGATACTATGTTTCATGCTTTGTCTGGGAAATTGCATCCACACATCTCTCCAGCTGAGTTGTTTCTGGGCCGTAATGCAGTGTGGAAGTAGATCTATTTGCTCTTGTATATGAAGGGCAAAAAAAACAGTGAGCTTACTTCTTAACTCTGCACAGAAAGGCCAGCGCTCCCCACCAGGGCTTCTGCCTTCCTTCCCGGACTCCTGCAGCAGCCTACTTAGATTACACATAATCATTTGATGGTGGGGCTATAACTGTGAACTGAGACACAAAAAGGGGTACCCCAAGCAGCACTGTACCCGGTCATCTCCCAGCAGGCATTCTGCTGGGTTAATCTGGTGCTGTGAATGAGAAATGCCATTTACTTTCCCAATTATGATATAAACCATTAGCTATTTTAATATTTCCATAGTATAGCATATCCTGAAGACAATCAAGAACACAGAGAGTCTACCAGATCTTTTTAATTTTTTTTAAGTTTTATTTATTTATTTGATAGAGAAAGAGAGAGCACGCGCGCACAAGTAGCCAGAGAGGAAGGCGGGGGGCGGGAAAACAGGCTCCCTGCTGAGCAGACAGCCGGATGTGGGACTCGATCCCAGGACCCTGAGATCATGACCTGAGCCAAAGGCAGAGGCTTAACCCACTGAGCCACCCAGGCGCCCCGAGCCTACCGGATCTTAAGAAATAAAGTAAATCAGGGGCATCTGGGTGGCTCGGTCAGTTAAGCATCTGACTCTTGGTTTTGGCTTGGGTCGTGTCTCAGGATCATGAGATTGAGCCCCGCGTTTGCTTGTCCCTCTCCTTCTGCTCCTTTCTCTCTCCCAAATAAATAAATAAATAAATAAAATCTTAAAAGAAAAAAGGGAATAAAGTAACAGTGACACCTGTAGGAACAACATGCTGCGGGTGAAAACCGTTCTAGCACTGAACTCATGAACTGCTTTTTCAAGCAGTATCACCTAACGGTCACTGCCCAGCGTCAAATGAACACGTAAAAATGCTGCACCCACCCCCACCCCCACCAAAAAACAAGAGCATGCCAAGCCGCAAGCAACTGTCCTCCAAATCCGGACCCAGGGGAGCACACACGAAGACTGGCTTGTGTCCACGTGCAAAGGCACCCACGGGGTTAGCGCTCGCTTGGTCAGCAGACGGTCATGAGCACGGGGCCAGGCGTGACCCCGGGAGAGACAGGGCCCTGTCCTCCCAGAGCGGACACAGGAACAGTGCCTGCCGCTCAGACAAGATGGCTGAGTAGCATGTATTTGGCCCTGGGGTCCCAGGGGCAGGGTCTGAATTCCCACCCTGCCTCGTACCCACTGGGTGGCAGGGTGCGTGCTGTTCTACCTGGGAAGCCGAGGACACTACACCTTCCCCTCGAGGCCCGCGAGGGCGAATTAGGAGGATGTGCCTGTGAGGCACCAATGTTGGTGCCATTTCTAGACTTTGTGTATGCTTTCCATTTTCCAAAATCTCATTAATGGATTGGATTCACTGCTTCTAAAATGCCTTTAAATTTTGCTCTGCTTTGAGTTGGACGTTGGAGGAGTAAGAAAGATAATTAACCTGACCCAGGTCACCCCAAGTTCCCTGGATTCTGCCAGAATCCGGGGCCCCGGCACGACCAGATTCCCTCGCCGAGCCCATAGGTAGAGCAGCAGACACAGCTGTGCCCCTGGAATCCAAGCCACAGTCGGATGCAGCAGCTACTGTCCTACTGCTTCTGAGAAATTCTTTTATGTGCTCTCTTCCCACAACATGCTCAGTCCTTCTCCATCCTCTCCACACTGCACATCCTTCTCAACATGAGGGAAACAAAGGCAATCACACTCAGTCCATTATCTCTCCTCTCCACATTCAAAGCTTTCTATCGCTATCTCTCCATCTCAAAGCTTCATCTTCTATGGAGAGATCATTTGAACCAGATACTCCCTAACTGCTGGGTAGGCACTCCCACCCCAACCCTGGGGTCACTAACGAAAAGGACACACGAGTGTTCCATTCACACGCAGGAACGCATGAGTCAAAAAGACCTGGTCTGCACGTCATCCCAGGGCTCACCACGTGACCGTGGCTTTCCACACCAGGAAAATGATGACACCAGGGCTGATGCACGTCCTGTAGGCTGTTACTGCATTTCCTACACCAGCCCCAACTTCTCTCCTGCCCACCACTCCCGCAGTGCTCCTGTGCTACTTACTGGGGGTGTCCCTCCTCTCTTCCTGCCAACCCTTCTATTAAGCATCTTCATTTCTGTTACATGTTTAGAACTGAAGACATTATTTTGTCCCCTGAATGTCTCTTCTTCACAGCACCGCTGACCTGCAGCACCACGGCAGCTGGACAGAAGAAAGGGACCGGGATTCATTCACCCGTCAATTTGTTGACTTTTACTCTGCAATTTCCATTAAGGTGTCTCATCTCATCTTGGGTGCCTGGTGTCCTGCCTGGTTCCATCACTCCAGAAAGTACATATCAGGGCTGGGAAAGCCTAGCACTTTGGGGACCCCGATGAGCCACATCTCCTGGCACCCCGCCCACCAGAGGTTCTGCCCACAGTGAGACACCAGCGGGTGTGATGCATGGGCTCCTGAACTGCTACCTCCTGGGTTCCACCTGCCTGTACAGGGGCCTGTACTAGCCACACAGAGGTCACAGCTAGTGATCCCCGCAGAAACACGAGACAAGTGAGGAGAGCAATCTTGGATCTTCCAGTCCCAGCTGCCATATGATTTCAAGAGCATTAAGACCCCACACAAGACCAGCAACAGAACCTCCCAGCTGAGCCCTAGCTGACCCACACTGCTGTGAGGAAGTGAAAACAGCTATCAGTGTAAGTCATTAAGCTTTGGAGTACTTGGTCAGGCACCAATAACCAAGGTACACACTTCCAAATACCCATACCCTGCACATGGACAGAACTCGTTTATAATTTTTCAGATCTCAGATTTTTATTTTTTATTTTTTTAAAGATTTTATTTATTTATTAGACAGAGAGAGACACAGCGAGAGAGGGAATGGGAGAGAGAGAAGCAGGCTTCCCGCAGAGCAGGGAGGCCAGTATGGGGCTCAATCCCAAGACGCTGGGATCACGACCTGAGCCTAAGGCAGAGGCTTAACCCACGAGCCACCCAGGTGGCCCCCTCCCCCTTTTTTTAGAGAGACAGTGAGAGAGTGCACTCACAAGCTGGGGGGTTGGGGGGGGGGGGAGAGGGAGAATCTTTTTTTTTTTTTTTTTTTGAGAGGGAGAATCTTAAACAGGTTCCATGCCCAGAGCAGAGCCAGCCCCATGAAGGCCTCAG